AGTCGTAAACTCGACATCCATCTCCTCTGTAGACTCGCTCCTGAATTAAATTTACAGGAAGGTCAGTTGGAGTCGTAAGCTCGACATCCATCTCGTCTATAGACTCAGCGTCAGAAAAAATTTTCCCACGAGTAGCTAGGGAAAGAAGGTGTTACATTTACAAAAATATGTACAATACGGCTGTAGCAAACCTGCAAAACTGGTTGTGTACAAAATTCTACTCACGTCTTTCCAAGTATATCCATCTTGAATGTGAACTGTGTGTACTCCTTTGATAAAAATGAAGAGGGAAGCTACCAGTACCACACCCCATCCTGTCAAGTACAACCAGGGTGGATCTTCTCTGAAGATGCCCTCCATGGGTAGAGTGATCATCCCCCAAGCGAACAAGGCTGTGAGAATGAGAGGTGCAGCCCACCACAAGAGGAGCCATAATCCCGACAGAATATGTCCAAGCATGAATTCGAAATCAGATCTTATTCTTTCTGTCCCTGGAAAAAAATTGTCATTGTACGATTGTGCTCAGAAAATTGTAACGACGATACGCCCTCTTGAGTATAATTGAATTTCAATAAAGGTACAGCATATTCTCTTGGAGAATATGGAAAACTGTATAAGAGTGGTGGTAGTTTAGTGGTGTAATATAGTTTCAGGTTTTTTTTTGATGATAGGTGAAATTTTTCAATTGTAAGTGTAATGAAAAGTTTTTTAATGACTTATGTACCTCTCGATTATGTACCTACTACGAATAATGTTGAATTTCCAATATTGTGTTAAATTCTATAGTAAAACTCAACCGAAACTCAATCATACTTCACCACGACACATGAAGTGCACGTCATAGCATAATATATATTTATGAATTATTCCTATAGAGGCACCTAGAAGTCAAAGTGAATATTTCAGGTGCATTTAGTTCTAATATTAACCAAACTTCTTTAGAATAACTCACCATAGAAAGCAATCATTGCCATAACCTCAACGACTGCAGTTATTAAAATTAAGTTGCCGACAATATAATGGTCTAGCAGGTGTACAATATCAAAATTAGGTTGTAACAGAACCGCACAACCTAAGACAAATCCTATGAAACCCATGACAATACTGGCATGCCACCATTTCACTTTTTTAGCCTTGCATTCCACTGTGATGGCTTTGAGTAAAGTATAACATAGAGTTGCCTGAAACAAGAAAGTTGTGTTCAAAAAAAGATGAAATAGTCTCCACTGAATGGTTACGTTGAAAAGTAGCTGAAACTGTTTCTGTCATCAGAAATCAAAGAGAAATAATAATATTATATAGCAACAGACACATCTCTATTCATCATAAGCTGATAATACTAAATTGGGTCCAAAACGAGCACTTTTGCCAATCACCAGAAGTTCAAAACTCTTTTTGACGGGCGTTTGACCAACCCAGATGGCGTCTTTAGGAGACGAAAAAAACTGAAGAGTATGTATTCCACAGACGTTTACTAGAACCTTCTGTATAGGAACGATAGGAGAGATTGATGTTTCAAGATTTCATTTCAAAATATTGATTTTCTTATAGATTAATACTTAACCTGTTCAAACAGTAATTTATGACATTTCAACTGTAGAAATATTATTAATAATAATAGCATTTATTTTCCTTTGAGACAAAGAGATGTATAGGAATAATCAATGACGAAAAGAGAAAGACAAGGCACGAAAACAGAAAGTTATTCTGTGAAATAGAATACAAACAACAATTATAAACGAATAACATAATAAACACCAACAAAAGTAGACAAATAATAACTTTTTTTGAATCCCCATTTTATAGAAATTGTGTTCCAAAAGGAAACTTTTTAATTTATGTGTGAAATTGTGATCACTTCTAATTTCTTTAATTCAGGTAGTCTAGTAGATTTGAATGAATACAAGTATTATTGTCAATGAGAGAAGTTTGAGATTTTATATAAAGGAGAGTTGTGTAGTTAGTCTTTGAAATAGTCTACAAAATAGGGTTAGATAAATACTAAACTTTTTAACAGTATCCCTATGGTCAATTCATTGAAGTTAAAAATATGAATCTTCATAGGTTCAATATTACTTGTTGTGTTTGTAAGTGGTTGACAATGTTTCATAGTGTATTTCATCAGTTCGGACTTCCATTGTCTAATATAATATAAATTGATTTGAAATCCCTGAAAGAAAGATAATTTATTCATCATTGAAGTTTTTTACACAATGGTACAAAACTTATCAGACTAGTCAAAACATAT